GTCAATTTTACACAATCAACCGTATGCGAATGGGGCTCCAATAAGTATTTGCTGCGTAGTTATAGACTACTCCACTGATCCAACTCCATTCACGCAGATTATTGCCTTGCTCTCTAGTCGTGCGCTTTTACTGCGATCTATCCTCTCACCAGCTCCGTTTCCTCTGCATTAGAAACTTTCCAAACCATCTACCCTTATTAAAAGCAAGTACGTTTTTGATGTCCTTTTGAGGTGCGTTACTACGCCCAGCGAGATTTCTTCTGCTTTTCAAAATGATCTAGATGAGATCCTCCTTTGGAACTCATCCTGATGCCTGATTTTGTATAATTTGAAAGGTCGTGACACAACATTCGCTTTTCTCCGAGCAGACAAGTTACGAGTTGCATTGGAGTCCCCTTCTCCCTTGGCATTGAGTGACCAGTTCATACGTAGACCGTCAATTTTCATATATATAGAGGTCATTCCATCCGGAATCTTCCCTTAGTCTACTCACATTACCGAGACGTTTTTATGATTAGACCGGTTATTTTACGCTCTTTGACTTAAAGTACTTTCAATATCACATGGGTAGATTCTTAGATTTGTGACTGTATGTATACTGCCGCATTGGCTATACTGTTCCCCTATAAAATTCTATGGGTTACTTAAAAGATGCTACAGGTTGATTGTATGGTCGATAAAGCTAATTTCAAGGAGCAGCGGATTACCTAGAGAGTCGCTTGTGGATTTGCTTGTTAATAAGCACCCAGACAATTGTATCAGTTTTCTCCAAAATCCTAAACGACATCCTTCAGCCGCTACTTTGTGACTTATCACAAACATTATATATTTCTTCTAGCCGCTACAAATTTAAGGCTCCATGTTCTTGAAGTGCAGCATATCGTTATTCCGCTCTACTGTACCTGTCCCTTTTGCTTGTTCACCCAAACCAAAACTCAGTATGATTAGAAATTATTTACTCAAGTGCTATATATTTGGACATTTTAGACCTTTTCTTCCTTTAATTAACACCAATTTCACACAATTCATCACTTGCTGTGATAGTGTAATATGCTGTCAATTCATATACCAGGATACATAAAGCATACTTTGACATCCAGTTTAAAAATATGAATCGAGGTATACATTGCGATTGCACGTCGTAATCGCAACAGACAACGTGTACTTCAAAATGGTCTTGCAAACAATGATTGACCATTGTGCCAAGCGTTGCTGTTGGTGACCCGGTAGCCAGTGGGGTAGAGGTATTGGCTATTATATCAATGGTCACGGGTTTGAGACCTGCTATCACCACCGGATGAGAACAAATGAGGTCGCAACACGTCGTGAGGTGCAGTGTTATCGGGCTGGTAACATGCATTTTCCATCCAACTCTCATGTTTACTCCATACCCCTAGTACGCTGATGTGTTTGTGCTAGGCACATTTCCAGATAGAGAGCATGGGACTGGTAAATGTTTTATCGGTTTCTCAGCAAACTAACTAATTTCCTTCAGGTCATGCCATTCTTGCGCTGTGTTGAATGGGCCTATTTGTTTAAACTGGTACGATGCCTCCCATGGGATATTTTACATTGGTCATTACGGTAGGAGAAAATTTGTTAGTGCTTCTAACGAAATTTATAACCCTTGAGACAATGTTTACACTCACTAGGTGGATTGCATCCCGGTAAACGATGTCGCTAGCTGGCTACCATCAACAATGTGTTGAACGCTAACTAGGGTGAAACAAGCTACGACCAATCAAGACGAAATAGGCTTGATACACCCAACTAGGTGAATTATTAACGTTTAAACTATCACTGCGGATACACTGAATGAATGGGACCAGGTAAAAATATATAAACACAGATTGAAAAATCAAATAGTCATAGGTATGTGGATGTCGTTCAAGAGACTCATGGGCAAAGTATTTTTGACTTTTATAAGGTCGAAAAGAAAACGCGACAAATAGGGTAAGATTGCAATACAATACAAAACCGTGCTGGAATATAATCCTAAATTTTGAGCGTATGTAAGAGAGAGTTAACGTTCGTGAGAGAGCATCACGTAGCGGATGAGAGCGGTCACTTAGGACCTTAGAAGAAAGATGCTTGCAAACATCAAAATGCCTACAAACAATAAAGTCAACTATGGAAGCTCTCGGCAAACCATCACATCTGTAAATTGGTTTAACCAATCGCACAGTCAAAATATGGTCCTTTATTAATAGTCCAGAGAAGATTAGTGAGAAAAGGTACAACCAATGGAGGATAACACATGCACTTACAAATCACCAAATTAAGCTTCGCGGTACGGAGAAATTCTTAAGTCGGAAAGCACAAAATGATAGTTTCTTGACCTCGTGATAGGTCACCGAAACGTGCATGGACCAAAAGAGGTTATGAGAAAGTGGGACACTGAGTTATTTGACAGTGGAGGAATAGGAATGGTTGTCCTCCAAAGTTAATAGATGAGAGGCATATAAGGTTACTCGCAAGTTATCATGGCACTGTAATGAAAATGTTACATGAGTACATTGAAGAGCACTTCGGTTAAGAGACCTGCTTGCTGAACAACTCATGGCAGACTTATGCAACATTATGTCCATTAACGGCTTTTGGAGCAAGTCATTACAGAAAACCTGTATCATGTGACGTGAGAGTGATTGGCAATATCCAATCGTCACTAGATACCTGCAGTCAAACAATGAAAGAAATCCACGTTGAACGACCGAATGCACAAGCGAGTTTGCCACAGTGGCGAAAGGCACAGCAGCATGCTCTACGTGTGCGAATAGACAAGCGAATGCTAGTCTTTGGTCCCACCTGCTATTTGGCTTGAGCAACGACATTTTCGGTGCACTAAAATATGAGGCAACATTTCTGCAGCTACTGCTTGAAATATCGTCTAGACCTTCTTATCTGAAAGTTGAAGGCAATGTTAACAACATTCAGACGTACATTAATTACCTAAAATGCTGAAGTAATGAATGAGTAAACTAAATTTTATGCACTGAAGTCTCAATTACTCTGTCATCGATGTAATGACCCATCGGGAAGCTAAACTGTAGATAGGGAGCCAAGTTATTCAATCCATACTTCCATGAACTACACATAAGCTGCACTGATCTACTTAGCTATTGATGTCTGACGTAACAACCGTCATCGAACACAAGAGGCACCTTGGACCTAGGCAAATTTTATTATTCACACTGATGCCAAGCTGGTGTCTCAATCACTTGCGTGCCATTATTAGATACAACCGGATGCGTACAATCAACTTACACTTGCTGGAAAGTTCCCAGCGGTCATAAATAAAGTCATATGAGTGGATGTTTTCCGGTTACATCTTGCATATAATCATTTGTTACACGGATTTAAAACAAACCTAGTGTTCTCTTTCTACACTTTGCACCGCCTAGTTCTCGGCTCAGATTGCAATCGGGTGCTTAGCGAGCATGTTAGCCTAAACTTGGGAAAGAGGGACTTTGTGTTACTTCAGTAAAAGTGTACATTACCAAAACTACTAACTACTGTGGTACGTCAGCTAATTGCATCAATCAACCGTCATACTCACTAAAGTAAACTCACTACAGTGGTATAACTTCAAACTGCGCGAAATCAAGTCATGTTTTCTCTGAAGCGACTTTACGAATTAGAAGACGGGTAGTGATCGAGGCGCTAATCTTCCAAACGCTGTGGAATACTTAAAGTTCACATAACTAGCTTGTTACCCTGTCACACTCATTACATGTCTCCTTATGTTCTTGTGACGGGAGTTTAAACACGGTGTTCAATGGGAGTTCTTCCATATGTTCCTAAAGAGATTTAGTCACTGGCTCCTATACTTTGCTTGGTAGTAAACCGTCGTCTTAATTCGTCCATTGCTCCTACTAACATTAATGCAACGGAGATATCAAAGTCAGGTCACATAGGTGCTCCCCATTAATTTTCGCTTTGGAGCCGAAATACCAAACTTCAAAGTATACTTTCGTAATACCCAGCTGATCTGAGGGCAATCTGAACTAAGACAATAACTACATTTCGTATGATTTTGATAAATATAACTGCGTGTGAATCTACTTGTAAACCTCAATTTTTGTTAAGAAGTTCTAGTATCTTAAGAACGTTGGCGTTTATTTATCATAACTATACCCCCGACTATAAAATAAAGCAGTTATCATGCTTTGTGACTACCAGTTGCTTTCAAATGGTAGTTATGTGTAAATATTTATATCGATACCAAAGATAACTACAATTTCTGATGTTAGTTAACATGCGAGTACTGGTCTTACCCACAATATTCTCTTAAACCACCTCCACATTTTTCATGAAATGCAGTTTGATAAACTGGAAAGAAATACTAAGGCATTTGATGAGGTTAACAAACCTCTGTAACAATTCCCTAGGTGGAGTCAGATAAATCAGGATGAGTCTACCATCGGTTTAAGCAATGTCAAACATCTATTTGTATTGGGTGCATTTTTTGCTAGACTGCTCATTGTGCTATGTGCAACATCTGGTGGTCTTAGACCTGAAGTGAAACTAAAGCTCTACACAGTAATCCATTTTGTACGTTTAGTTTTTATTTTTAACGCGCTGCTAATGAGTCATAATCTAAGGTACAAGTAACTCATCGGCATCTGGTTGCACTTTGCATTGCAGGTAAACTAGCTATATCTCTAATGAGATCTGATCATGATTCCCAAGCCATGTGGGTTGTAAGCAAGTTAATAAAATTCTGCTGGAATTCAGAATTAAATCTGTACATTACTGGCATTTGTTCCGTGTAGCAACAATTTGTCCTATTGTAAACCAACCTAATCTGTAAATGCGAAGACGCCCAGAAACGTCTTATTGTTAATTTGTCTTCAAAATCTCTTTATATATTTCGTCGCCTACAAGTTCTCTTCAATTAATTCACTGGTAAAGTTCCGATTTCTCTCACTCTACCTAAGTAGCATTCGAACATACTTGTGACCAATTATAGGAGTGGAGTATATGTTCGGTACTGAACTTACCGCTTGAGATACCGAGTAGCTGAATCCCAAAGCACAATACTGAAAACAGCGTCATCCCAAAAGCATTGGGTAGGGGAATAAGGTGCGTTCGTTTAAGTACTATAATTTGACTAACAGGTCTGCGGTTCATTGGTGAATGTTGCCACACAGATTCAACTTGGCACCCAACCAATTGGATTAACCGTGGCTTTGGGCCATCTGTGTGGAGCACAATTAAAATTTATGTACGCTGGTTACAGCCAAAGCTGCTGTCTTGTGTTCTTTGGCCTATACTTGAAAAGCACATGGCATACACAATCGGAGTAATTAGAGCTCCGTTGTTGCATGACGCCAATCGAAGAGACTTATTTGATAGGCACAAAAACACATGCATCGGGTCTAGAATTTATAGCTTATAACAAACTCCCAACATTACACGTAACCCCTAGGCTTCAATTATTATGGCTAATTGAATAATTGCTGTGTAACGATGCAAACAAGATTGGAGAATGTGGTTACAGTGTGGTTTTCTCCCATTCATGTATTCGGTCCCAAACCTATACCGAGCAAGTGGCCATTGCGCGGTTGCTTCGGACGAACCTATCAAAAACGCAAGTTCTGTGGAGTAAAACGTTAACAAATCTTTTGGGGCAAACAGAAAAAGGAGAAGAAAAACAACATAGGTAAAGGCGCCACGAACCGGATTAGAGAGAACAAGCAAGCCATGTGGAATAGTTGGGAACGAGTCGCGAGACGCAGCATTTCTAGCAAATGGAGACTGAAGATTTTGCTCGTCGCAATGCCAACAAAGCAGCCAAATTGTTTACTCCGTTCTTTCAAGAATTAAACCCAAGCAGCGTTTTACAACCAAGATCAAACAAATTTGTAAGCCTTAGCAAAAACCCATGTTGGTTAGAATGGGACTTGCGAAAGCGAAGATAGTGTGTCACACATAGAACTCTCTCGGTGCTGTGACGGCCGATGTGATACTGTGTGATGGATTTGAAGATGAATATTTCATCCCCAGATAAGCATGCGTTGCAGTGTGATTAGAGGTTGTTGTTACTGGCAATGTTGCTCGTTCTTTCTTGCTGATTCGTTTGTGCCGCACTGATGTAAAAGTGCTCCGTTGTGACTTATATGACCCGGGGTTGTCGATAGATCCAGAAACGTGGGATATTTACGCAGGTTACTTCTTCGAACCAAATTACCACATTACACGTCCAAATAATGGGCCTTGACTGATCTCGCTTACTGACACTGGAACGGCACAAACTGACAAAGAAATAAGTGTATTTCACAGGTTATAACTGATCAACATTATTAATCAGATGCAGTCTGTGGCAGAGACAAAGCCACTTGACACGTCACACGAAGTAGGCCTTCGACGTTTATTTTCCACTAGCTGTAGACATTCTCTAGCAAATGTGTATACTGTTGCAACGGTTCCATGTTGGCAGTGAGAATTTAGTGCTCGGTTTCTTCCGAAAACTCCAGGATCTGAACTTCATATACATATCGTTTGCAACATGTTAGCATCTGGAAACGTCATAACGACGTTGACCGCGATGTTTTGTGCGTGAGATGACATGTGTGTTTTAGCACCATAGCCATATGCACAAATTCCACAAGCTTTACTTCCACTTCATAATATCCGACGAATAGTTAGGCTTCAGTTTAACGTATTCGTGGACAGCTTCAGCTACTAACCGATACAGATGTAGGAAGACTATTATGTTTTCAGGGGTGCGTCATCTAGTTCAAATAACCGTTTGTAATTTAACGTGCGTTGGCCCCATCACCAACCTGGTCTACAGCATTTGGATCCAGCCTACTCGTGTTGATATTGCCGGCAGCGACATCCACAGTATTGACGAACACAGTGGAGCGCACGGCTTGCCCACGGAAAGCATGGCCTAAAGTTTTAGAGTTCTAGCTTGTGGCGAAGATAGCTGTGTAAAACTAGTGCGATTTGAAACAGAATGCACGAACTACCGTGAACTTTCATCATGGTTGTGCAACGTTTAGGCTGAACGAAATAAAGATACTTATAATGCGATTGGCCCCTCTGGTTCTGCACGGTATGTTCGGCTATTCTACTACTCAGGGGCAGAGCTGTGTTGGCACAGTAACGCGACAGACGGACAAAGATGGGAGTGCGAGCGGCCGCCGTGAAAGCTGCCCCAGAGGAACCAGAGAAATCAGTTACTCAAATTCCATGCTTAACATTAAACTCCAATTCAGAGCATTGTAATCGGGCGGAACATAAAAGCAAAGATCCAGCATTAGCAACCCCGATATTGGGAGCTGTTCATAAAGATGTGTTCGCCACAACTACTGCATCCGATCCACGCGTCACACTGAATTCTGTTAAGTGACCGACAACATACTTTTCCGATATTGTTCCCCACTTGATAGAGGCGCATCTCACCGTGACCACGCTCGCTGCCAGAGTAACTTCAGTTAATACTGTCGCTACCACCGCAGGACTCAACACCCCATCAGTTGTCCAACCAAAGAAAGCAACTACACTTCCCTCCATGAAGGATAACAAGAGACAATATCATAATTCGCTGATTTATATCCCCAATTGTGAATGGATCAGGGGCAAATCTCGTAAAACATTGCTACTAGATGACCAGAGACATTGGAACTCACTGTGTCAATTAATAATGGTTCAAGCTAAGCCGGTCAGTATGATGCACTCTATCACCCGAACTCCCTACACCACTTGAAACGCGATTACTCCAGACAACAATTCATTCATGTAATGATGTACAAGCAGTTCCGTTAGCAGACATTCGCCTCCGTATCACTAAATTTATGTTAGAAAATGTCCTCAGAAGTTCTTTGGAGCGAACACCGGAAACGCAAAGTAAACCAAAGACCTAAAGTTGCTCGTTTTCCATAGAATATCCGAGCTTCAGACTTCGAAAGAGCTAGATAGCAAAGCGCATGACTTGAATGAATAACGCTTCGTCCGCGAAGTAACCGCATACGAAAATCGCATCGCTACTTTAATCTGTATGTTTCCATCATAGAGTAAATAGAAAGGGAACGGTCCGTGTGGATAAAAGTAACACTGTAAACAAAAACCCATATTGGAAAATCTGATGGAAATGTGGCTTAATTTGCGCTCGTGGCTGCTATCGGGACTGCGCATAAATTCGTTAGACACCAAAACACTAGTCGACAAGGTGATGCTGGATATGCAGTCCTTTTGTGTGTCCCCATCAGAATGTCGTTCATAACCGGGATCCAGTCAAAACACGACGCCAACTGAAGTATGTTTTGGTTTTCGGTCACTTACAGACACTGAGAACTCATAATGCCAACTCAGAACTGGCTCGTGGCCAACGATTGCATTTCATATATAGCGATGGACAGCAGACTATGGCGGAGTCAGCATAACTCCCCACAGACAAGCCACATCTACAAATATACCGCTAAACTCTGGTGCTCTCACCTGTCTGTACACCAAAGTATAAGCTCCTCTCAATAAGTTTCCTTAGATTCATCATCGTCACGCTTCAACTCTTTGGGATGTCTTTATGATAACGGAAACATGTCTGAATACCGAGAGCATTAATTCTTGGATAGCGGTGTCAGGCATAACTCTATTACGAGAAGACCGACCCAGTAGAGGAGGCGAAGTGCTTTTATCTTAACGATCTGACATGCACCACGATGTCATCGATGATCAATTAGCGCAATATGTCGGTTCCCTCTGGTGCTGCCTGGAAATTACACTGGAAATTACACAAACGTTCAAAGACCTATTGGCGTTTACACACTGGGGTAAAAAATAAGAGCTAGTGACAGGGGTGCCACATATCGAACAGCCGCACTCAGAGTACTGCTGTGCGAATGCAAGTGAAATTGCTTCGCGATATCTCAATATATTAGTTATTATCCCAAGCTTACATAATGGTCCACTTCGATTAAACTAAACACCACGTTCCTTCTCACGAAGCCAAGTTACAGATGGGCACCTGTGTTGCTGGCTCATTATAGTTAAGCAGTCCTCTCGCGTAACTGATGTACTATAATGGAACATGACAAGTCTATATGTGTGAGCAGAGAAGCTGCACGTCGGTGAATGATTAGGTGTAACACATTGTTCTCAGAAATTGTTGGTGACCAACTATGGAATCAAAGATCCCATGATACCACAGAATTAACCATCAGGCCAAACAAGCCAACTGCCGCCACTATTTTGTAGTACAGGTAGTAAACTCTGTCAATTGATTCTGTCTGACTTAACAAGTAAAATGGAGATTAATCATTGCGCCGGTATATTTGAAGGATGTTAGTCATTTGTATCTTACCGCCATCTACTCGCGTCTATTCGCCGAACTGCCAAACAGAAGCATGCAGGCAACCAGGACTAGCCGAAGCAGAAGCATGTTGACAATTATTTTACCCCGCCTATCTGCCTAATTCTCGGCAAAATGTGTTTCTTTCAATTTTGCGAACATTGGAAGGTTTCGTCTCCATGCGAAATTGTGACGGTTCGCGATTTAATGCGTCACACCTGATAGAGGAATTCAGACCATGCGTAGATGGCATTGAAAAAATAAGGATCTGGATGTGGGTTTTAAGGTCTATTGTAGGTGTCATCCTAGTTTCTTAAGCTGAAAGTGGACAAAAGTATTACATCGCTTTTCATTATATTCGCCAAATTTTAAATGCAACTAGGAAGTTAAACTAGTTGCACTCCAACGAGGTCCACTAGTATCCAGCACAAGTAATTTGTCCCAGCAATTTATCCAAAATGGAAGACAGAGCCTAGCAGATAGCAGCACGTCCAAATGAATCGCACTGAATATCGCGTTGGTTAAGAATACTTTAGTAAATGCAATTCGCCATAAGGAGACAGAAATGAATGAAACATTTAATTGTGAAACTCGTCAGGCCAAGATGTGATGAGCTGATTTACTTGAGCTAATGTTAATTGATCACATGAGCACCTAAATTATTTTAATAAAGTCCCCCAATACCATTCACACACTTTCTGTTTTTCAGCCGATGATGACCTGCCATCCTTGAGGACGGCCCTACCATTTGCACATGAAA